GGTGCACCTTTGAGTTACATTCATTTTTGATCACCTCTGTATCACTGCTGCGACCCCTGTTACGCTTTCCCGGATGTTTCATCATACTTTCAACGCTGGCGACGATGTCCTTGAGGATAGCGAATTCCCCCCCCCCCCCCCCCCCCACACCTCTGTTTTCGCTTCTTAGGGAGCCTACATAATAGAGTACGGGCCCATTGGTCTGCACTGTGTAGGCTTCTAAGCTTCTTCAAACCTCACTAAGGTTTTGTGGTATCCCAATTCACGCTTTCCGACTCTTCAAAAGCTCTGCTAGCCTACACTTACTAAAGGACACTTACTGAAGGATTGGGACGTACACGTCCCAATCTTTTGTGAAACTTTTGTTTGCGACTTTTTTCTTTACAGTGACTTGCAGCTATGCGTAAGGTAATGTCGAAATGGAATCGCAAATGCTCCAACACATCGCACAATTTATGCTAGCGTCGTTAATTCCAAATAATTTGCCGTCAGTTCGAAACGCTCGCCTAAATACCATAAAAAACTAGCGCCCCACAGCGGGTCTGTGCCCGAGACTATGTACGCACAAGCTTCGGTGACGCTGAACACGTTGTTTTCAAATAGGGTAACCCACGGGTGAAGAAAGGAACAATGTGGACACTTTGAGCGTTTCCCCTTCAGGAAAGATGAAAGGGTTCCTGGCTTAAGCAGCCAAATCAACCTTGAGAACAGCTCAACAACCTAGCGATAGGGGTGATAGAAATAGTCCTCGCCGGGGGCCAGTCAGGTGTTGCGCGCGCCCGCAAATATCTGAGGCGTGTTTTTTTTTTTTCGAAATGAGTCAAATCCACCTAAACAGAATTTGAAAAAATGGCAAAATTTTGATATGCAAACTAAACACAACGCTGTAAAAGCTATTTTATGATATGTTATATATGTCAGCTAGGGGAAGTTTCAGACCACAATCATTTAAAAAATATGCAGCGGATTTCACCATTATTAGCTTGGTAATTTTGGATTTGGCTCTTATTGAATTGAGACATTGAATTCAACGCGGTATTCTTGAAAAAAGTTTGTTCAAATTGACCTTCAAGAGTGGCAGAATGGAGCTTTGAAAGAAGAGCCATAGGCAGCAGTGCTTCAAGAACACTATACATGAAGAGTAGGTCAGTCGTACTCACAGCACAAGCAGCTGTCTTGAAGTTCTTCTGAATGATCAATATTTTCTTGGGCACGTGTGAGGACATTTACGAAACAACAAAGGTCTTCATTTTCTTGCTATGAATTGCCAAAAGGCTTCACAAGAAGGCTTGTCACATCTTTCAGTTTCATCTCGTTCACATTGTGTGTGTAGAGTGCGCATTGTACGGGTGCTTGTCCAAGGGACCTTCCCTTTTTTAGGACGGGCACAAAATTTGACACGGAAACCTTGTAGTGGGGTTCTGCTCTAATTTTAGGACTTCTACAAGCTGCATTTCGTTGAATGTAGGAGACCTTGGTTTCAATTATTTTGAATGGCAAGCTGGACGCCAACTTCATCAGTGCGGAACAGTAGATTTTCCAGTCGTACACGTCCCAATCTTTTCCAAGCTCTAAGTCAGTGCCGTGATTTGAAAAAAAAATCATTCGGTAGCTCTGCGGATTCAGGATTTCTTCGAGTTTTCTTGAATCCTTTTTTATCCGGCCAAACACCCTGTTTGGGGGTAAAAAGCTGTGCCCTGTGACAGGAAACACAACAGAGACTACTGAGATCCCTGGGGGAGCGTCATTCTGAAGCCACCAAAGAAGCATGCAAAGCACAGTACTGTTCTTATTCTGTCCAGCACGGCCATCCTCTACTGACCGCACCTCCCTCATTCCTTCAAACTTCGTGCTTCGAAGTGTATTATGCACGGCACTGGCAACTTAGTTGCTGCCTTTCGAGCTTTCATCTTCGCTCCATGTGTACGAATGCACGGCTTCCCTGGGCATCGGTCCGTCCACCTGTTGTTCCATGACGCATAGGTGGTATTGATACAACTGGCAGCTGTATTAGGCTTCCTGGTCCAGAACTTTGGGGAAGACTTGATTCTGTTGGCCATCAAAGGAGAAATTTTTCAAGCCTTCCCTCTTCTCACGTAGCATGCATTGAGTAAAAAGCCGTGTACTTCAACCTGTGCGTACGTTACTCGGTGATGATACGCTGTTTCTGCGAAGCATCTTGAGAAGTTTTCATTTCATACGCATATTTCAGACATACAGAGTAAACGTTCGTTTTTGGTGTTCCGAACGAAAGGTTGAACTTCGTTCGAAAAACGTGAGGGAAGAAGCCATACTTAACCCGCGCATGATCGGGTGCTTGTTGGTTATAAATCTTCCACAAGTTTCGGATGCTTTTCAGCTCAACTTGAAGGTATAACCTTTTTGTCTTCTTCCAATTGTGATGGGACTCTCTTGCGCGAAGTCGCTGAATAAACCGCACAACAGCTGATCGCTTTCCACAGTAGCGCTTGAACTTCTGATCACCACCCCGCCAGTTGGGCTTCGACTCGCCCCTTTCATGCTTGTGCTTAGTATAGTGAGCAACTGCGCTGTGACTCTCAGCAAGCACCGCGCAAAACATATCGCGAGAAACACGAATCTCTTTCCCGTTTTCAAGGCGTACCTTGTAAACAGCAACAAGGCTTCGTCGAGGATCCGCTTTCTTTCTTCTCCTGCGTTTTACTGACGATGATGTAGAGTGCATCAAAACGAACGCCGTTTGTTTCACCCTGCACAATTCATTGAACTTCTCCTTGAAAGGCTTCACAGATGCCTCTGTCACGAGCGCGCACTTGAGAGTATTTTTTGCATGTTTACATTCTGGTAGCGGCACATTCTTGCTTCGCCGGCGTCGAAATTGCTTCTGTTCACGTTGTCGCCGACGTTTGGTGATAGATCTCTCGCCGATCTTTTCACTTCCATCAGAATCCATGATAATCCAGCTCCGAAAAGGGAAAAAAACTTGCAAAAGCACCGAGAAAACAAGCAGAGCAATCAGGCGGGAAATCACACGGAGGCTTCCACGTTTGCCGAATCACGTGATCGCTGAAGCGCTCTGTTATTGGCATACAGGATTTGACTCATTTCGATCCATACAGCGCATGGATCTGGCTCAATTTCGTTTGGAAACGAGATCTGCGGGCGCACGTAGCTGTTGGTATTTGACCCATTTCGTTCTGATCACTCTTTTAGAGGGAAGTTGAATGTGTTTGCATATGGAGCAATATTTGAGATAGTTTCGGTTTTTGGATTTAGCTCATTTAGAAAAACAAAACGCCACATCTGATGCCATCAATACCTGCTTAACCTTTGCAACATATAGGGAAATCTACTATCTTCGTCAAAGCACAAAAAATACTGGTTGCATCTGAAAACTCATACGAGAACGCACACTTACTTTAAAATCAAATTATTTTTTATTGGCAACGCTCTTCACAATTAATTGAAATGTCTCCGCATACAGGACTCTCAAACACCACATGCATCTCGAGTTTCCGAATTTGGTGTCAGGGGTCCGTCATTAAGAAAGGTGCGCATATCTAGAGGCATTATCTGGTCACATTTCAAACAAATAATAATTATTAACTGTTGGAATCTGTCACGGTTTTGAGCATTTGAAAAGACAGCAGTGTTTTTTTTTTTCACGAGCCAAGTCGAGTCTTCTATGATCTTATTCAGCCCTCTATTTCATGCGTACAAAACGTGGAACATGCATGCCGGTGTCGGTAAGCCGTGGACGCTACGGAACGACGCCAGAGGGGACCATGCATTGGGTGCTCGACGCTGTCTTCTCGATCATTGCGGTGCGCCATTTTCTCGGTGTCTTCTGTTTCTTTATCTTTTGGGCCTATACACAACTGTTAGTCCGCTCTCAGGAACAGCTACTAACTGCCCATATAGTTTTCAAGGTGTTCATAAAGCTTACGGATGAACTCTTTTCGCACCTCGCGCGTGGTCCGGTCACGTTACAGCTTTCTGCGTTGGCTTATTCTGTTCTCTCTACGAATGAGATAAGCGCACTTACACACAGCGTAAACTTTTTGAGGTACGGTACCTTCTGCCTATGATGAACCACTTCCCTGCAGAGTGCAAAGCGCTTATTTTTCTCTGGCCCATGCTCTCCTAATAAGCTGAAGCAATGAGCTATAGCGTAGCATGTAACTGATGCAAACAACGCCAACAGCACAATTGTTTCGACTTATGGTGGTTTCCTCTTAGGTATCTTCCTTTGTAGACGTCCAGTTGTTTCGCAAAAGTTTCTGCCTTACTTGGTTTCATGGCTCGCCATACTATCGGAGCTAATTTGCAGGTCCTTATAGCTACATCAGACAAACACAGAGCTCTTCTTGCAATATTGAAACCTATTTGACGTGTCTATAGGGGCGTAAATTTTTTTCGGGGGTGTAATCATGCATAACTTGCCTTTTATTAAAATGCACTTCCGGCAACGCATAAATGCAGCAACACGTGTCAATAGACTCTTTGTTATATCCCGACGGTAACAATGTTCTTCTAGATGGACCCATTAACCTGAACTGACGAGGCTGTTTGCATACAGGAAAGTATTCCATTTGATATAACCTTCTGGTCTGCACACTTTACATTATTATTTTCTGTGAGGCCATCAAGACGTAAATAGGTGAGGCGCACCACCACCTGCAATTCAGTAAAAGTTCTTCGCGATTCCTAGCAATGCCTCGCGCTCGTGACAGCGACTAGTCACCAACCACTTTTGTCATGTGATGTTAAATGACCACTCGTACTTAACCAAAGCCAGGGGCTCAGCTGGTACGTGCAAGTCACAGTCAATTGATATGAACTATAAAAAGTGGCAGTGGTAGTACACACCTTACATGGAAAGTGGGTAATGATTAGCTGAAACGTATTCTACAAACCTCATATGTAATTGTATCACGTTGTTAAGTCCGTAACCCACGCATGTCGCTGAATTCTGCCCACGGCGTTGTTCGTTCACTGGTACATTCTCAACAAAACATATCTTGCGGTATATAGTATAGACAAGTGCGTTGCCACAATATTGCCAAATTTATTTGTGTTCACTATATGCCTGCTCTTGAAGTAGTCCGCTGATGTTGAAATGACACCATGACGGGTGCAGAAATGACGCGGCTTCACTTCTGATGAGGGGTCATGTGCCAGAAACAGAAAGTGAACGGTCCACCACCATCGGCGAACGCCTGCTCTTTGACATAAAAATCCGCGAGCGTAATCCTGGCGGCAACGTCACCTGTGAAAAGTGCGAAAGAGGGTTAATTTTCAAAGCATGCTCGGGAATTTCTGCGTGTCAAGATTGCTTTTTCTCGTGAGCACCGTACTGGCGACTGGATGGGTGGGATATAGCTGAATCGGGAATCTCGATAGTAACGAAGTTGTGAAGAACTACGGCTCCAGCCCAAGCCAACGAGCCGGAAAACCACACTTGTAAACATGCCACTTTTATTTGGTTTACGGGCACAATGTTTTAAACAAACTGCTCAGTTGGGAGGCAGCAGTCAACTTTGAAAGTTTCAGAATAGCAAACAGGAACTTTTCCTATAGCTGCAAAAGAAGCAGGAATACACAAATTCTACATGGATGTACACTGTGTTGCTCCCAATGTTATTTTTTTTCTACAAGGCATATTCGAATTAAAAAAAAAAACAAGGAAGCAATGCCAGGTTTGCGTAAACACCCAGGACAGTTAAAGCTAAATCCGAATTACTTCTTTGCAGACCCAGACGGGTTCCTAAGTGGCTCACTCCCATGCCCATTAACGTACACACTGCGGATGGTACGCACATACCACAAGTCATCTAAATGAGAACTTTGGGCAAAATACTGCCGGAGGATGGGAGAAATAATCTCTGCATAAATCGCATAGCGGCCAAAGCAGAATCCATTACACACCTAATCAGAAGCGTTGCTGATAAAAGAGGCGGACTCTCTGAGGAAAACTTACGGCGTCTCTTTCACACATTTCTCATGAGCCATATCATCTATGTGGCTATAGATCACCCATGGAACAAAGACGATGAAAATAAATTAAATCTCATCATTCGTAAAGGCATCAAACAAGTACTAGGACTGCCCGTCGATACCAATACTAAAAAGCGCATGGCCTTGGGCGTTCATAACACATTAAGTGAAATCGGCGAAGCTCAAAATATTGCTCAACTAGCCAGACTATCTTCCACAGAGGCAGGAAGACAGCTTATAGCTCACTTGAAACTCGTGTCCCTGTTTTGTACACAACGAGAATGCACCCTGCCCCACTCGATCAGGGACCACATTCGAGTACTTCTCTACTTCCTTGTAACATGCACCCGGACTACAGCCAGGGTCGTCGTAGAGCACGCGCCACCGTGCTACTGAAGACTGCGGCTGCTATGCCCGACTCGTTCGCATTTGTAGACGTGGCAAAATACCCGAACTATAAGCACTATGTAGCAGCTGCAACCTCGCTACAAGGAGAACTGCTCACAGCCTTTACGCTCCTACACTCGGACCCTGACCGCGCAGAACAGGTAGCAATTGCTTTAACAATGGCGAAAACAACCCGCACTACAGTTTACACTGATTCCCGAGCCGCGGCCCAAGCCTTCCGTGTGGGCTCGGTCTGTAAAGAAGCAACCCGCGCTCTCTTGTGCATCACGTGGACTGACACCAAGCCTTTAATTTGGTGCTCGGGCCATATTGACTCCGACGCGCACCCCTTCGTCCCAAACGCCAACGAGCTTGCCCACTCCAAGGCACGCGACCTTACTCACTGTCTCAGGACAGAGGTTGGCCGACAGCCTAAGGGCGAAAATGGCACCGGAACCAACTGCAAACCTATAATGAAATCTGTCAGCACTATCGTCTCGAACGGCGAGAGTTTTCATTACCGCACCCTCAACTCAAACTACCACAAGCACTATCCTTCCGTCTCCTACAAACAGGAGCAATCCCTCACCGGCAGTTTATGCTAGATTCATGAGCGCCCTAAGGCAGGGGTGCCCCCGATGCGGCATCTGGCGATGCAACTTACAACATGTGTTGTGGCAATACCCCGAGTTGCGCGTGGACGACGGGTCTCCAATCACAGAAAAAAAACTGGAATGCTCTCCTCACAAGTCCCCACGAGGACGACCAACTTCGGGCCGTCCAGAGGGCTCATAACATGGCCGTCGAGTTAAACCTCCCGGTCCCGTCATGGGCGTGGCCCGCAGACGGGGCGGCCCCCTTGCGGGGTCATCGCCCCCTCAGAACCAAATGAAGTTATTCAGTCAGATATACTATCATACTCCCTAAATCATAGTTTTCGTTACGTGGGGAAGCACCCACTATAGCATTTCTTCTATTTTCTACGAGCAAGTGAAGTACCCGCTACAGATATGTATATTGTCAAGAGGTCGTGACGTGGCTGAAGGCAGCAGACTCGATGATCAGATGAAACTCTTTATTCGACCGAATGTGTGGCCAACAAACTGAAGGTCAGAATACAGCAACACACGGGCACTCATAGCTGCGAACAGCGCATCGGCCAGCAATCAATTGACAAGAGGCGAAGTGATTAATTGATTTGTGGGGTTTAACGTCCCAAAACCACCATGTGATTATGAGAGACGCCGTAGTGGAGGGGCTCCGGAAATTTCTACCACCTGGGGCTCTTTAACGTGCACCCAAATCTGAGTACATGGGCCTACAACATTTCTGCCTCCATCGGAAATGTAGCCGCTACAGCCGGGATTCGATCCCACGACCTGCGGGTCAGCAGCCGAGTACCTTAACCACTAGACCACCATGGTGGGGCAAGAGGCGAAGTGCGTCGGCAATTATACACTTGCCGTCGAATGTTCTATCGTTATCTCTAGCGGCGACGTAGGTTCAAGATTAATCTATAATGTTTACGAAGTGGGCGTAACCTTAAGAAAATGATCTACCGAAGTCCTGATGCTGCTTAAACACTGCAGGCACGGTTTGCGCTAAGAACTACTGACACTGACAGAGGGAGGTAACAAAAACTTGAGGAAGGAATGTGGTATTGCCCCCCTCAAAAAAAGACATCGTCCCGATGTTTTAACAAAGAGTGAAAGTACAACAATAAAGAAAATAAACGATAAGTACATGAAAGCAATACAGCACAGTAACAACAAAATACAGTCCTTAGGTTCGCGCATGAAATGGCTTGAGGTGGACGACATGCACGACTTCAGGTAGAGCGTGGCGCCCTTGAGAGTTGGCGATCCCGTCGGACACAACCTCGACTCTACCTGAAGTCGAGCGTGGCGCCCTTGAGAGTTGGTGATCCCGTCGGGCACAACCTCGTAGTCGAGTGCGTCTAGTCGAAATACCCTGTACTGTCCGACGTACCGTCGCAGAAGTTTTTCACCCAGTTCATCATCATGACCATCATCATCAGCCTGGCTACGTCCACTGCAGGACAAAGGCCTCTCCCATGTTCCGCCAGTTAACCTGGTCCTGTGCTTGCTGCTGCCAATTTATACCCGCAAACTTCTTAATTTCATCTGCCCACCTAACCTTCTGTCTCCCCCTAACCCGCTTTCCTTCTCTGGGAATCCAGTTAACTACTCCTAATGACCAGCGGTTATCCTGTCTACGCGCTACATGCCCGGCCCATGTCCATTTACTCTTCTTTATTTCAACTATGATATCCTTAACCTCCCTTTGTCCCCTAATCCACTCCGCTCTCTTCTTGTCTCTCAAGGTTACACCTACCATTTTTCTTTCCATTGCTCGCTGCGTCGTCCTCAATTTAAGCTGAACCCTCTTTGTGAGTCTTCAGGTTTCTGCTCCGTAGCTAAATACCGGCAAGATACAGCTGTTATACACCTTCCTCTTGAGAGATAGTGACAATCTACCTGCGATGATTTGAGAGTGCTTGCCAAATGTACTCCACCCCATTCTTATTCTTCTATAGTTACTTCAATCTCGTGTTTCGGCTCCGCGGTTATTACCTGTCCTAAGTAGACATAGTATTTTACAACTTCAAGTGCACTATTACCTATCTCGAAGCGCTGTTTTCTTCCGAGGTTGTTGTACATTACTTTCGTTTTCAGCATATTAATCTTAAGACCTACTTTTCTGCTCTTCTTGTCTAGCTCCGTAATCATGGGTTGCACTTCGTCCCCTGAGTTACTCAGCAATGCAATGTCAACGGCGAAGCGCAGGTTACTGAGGTATTCTCCATTAACTCTTATCCCTAACTGTTCCCATTCTAGGCTTCTGAAAACCTCCTGTAAGCACGCGGTAAATAGCATTGGGGAGATTGTGTCCCCCTGCCTTACACCCTTCTTGATTGGTATTCTGTTGCTTTCTTTATGAAGCACTATGGTAGCAGTTGATCCTCTGTAGATTTCTTCCAGAATGTTTATATATACTTCATCTACGCCCTGATTCCGCAGTGTCTGCATGACGGCTGATATTTCTATTGAATCAAACGCCTTCTCGTAATCTATGAAGGCTATGTATAGTGGTTGGTTATACTCTGAGCATTTCTCTATTACCTGATTGATAGTATGAATGTGGTCAATTGTTGAGTAGCCTGTTCAAAATCCTGCTTGTTCCTTTGGCTGATTGAATTCTAATGTTTTCTTTACTCTGTTAGCAATTACCTTTGTAAATAGCTTGTACACTACAGAAAGCAAGCTCCCGTCGGGTGAGCTTGCTCACCCGACGTGAACTGGGTGAGCAAGCTCACCCAGTTCACGTCGGCGTATTGGCGTCCATACCAAAACGCGGTCACCAGGCTGGTATTCGACGAAGCTTCGCCGGAGATTGTGACGGCGGCTGTGCGCAAAGATCGCCTGCGTTAGTTCAGCAGTGAATGTCACTTTTCTGTCGCTGATCAGGACCTCCGGGGCGCCGTGACGTTGGACGATGTTTTTGACGAAGAACTTAGCTACCTTGGATGCAGTGCCTTTGGGCAGGGCTTTTGTCTCGGCGTAGTGAGTATGGTAGTCGGTAGCTACGACGATAAACTTGTGTGCGACAGTGGACGTCGGGAACGGCCAGTAAGTCCATACTGATCTGCTGGAACAGTCGGCGAGGTGGTTCAATGGGCTGCAGAAGTCCCTTTGTCCTTACCGGCGGTATCTTGCGTCGCTGGCATGCATTCCCGGCATGTCCTCACGTAACGAGTGTCGTTGCTTGTAAGACGTGGCCAGGAGTACTTTTCTTGTATCCTCGCGACCATGCAGGAAACACCGAGGTTTCCTGCCGTCGGATAGTCAGGCAGGGTCTGAAGGAGGCCGGGTCACAGAGCTGAAGGTACCATAAGAAGGCACTGGGCTCTAAGTGGTACTGGGCTCGAAGACGTTCTTTGTTTGGAGAAGGCCGTTTCGCAGCAAGAACGACGCAAGTGCGTGCTTGCGTACCTTCAGAACAGCGGCGGTCCTGCCCTCGAGGTATTCTATTAGGCCCCTAAGTTTCGGGTCGGCTCGCTGTCGTTCACAGAAGTCGTCGGCAGTTATCGTTCCCAAGTAGTAGTCGTCATCCGAGTCTTCGGGCGGTGGTTGGTCGACAGGCGCACAAGAGAGACAGACGGCGTCGGATTGTTTTTCGCTGGACTTGTAAACGACGGTAATGTCATATTCTTGAAGTCTCAGGCTCCATCGTGCGAGGTGACCTCAAGGGTCCTTCAAGGTGGCTAGCCAACACAAGGCGTGGTGGTCGCTCCCAACTTTGAAGCGCCTGCCGTAGAGGTAGGGGCGAAATTTCGACATTGCCCAGATGGTGGCAAGGCGCTTCTTTCCTGTTGTGAAATAATTTGCTTCTGGTTTGAATAGCGATTGGCTGGCGTAACCAATAAACCTTTCCAGTCCATCAGTCCACAAAAATGGCGCCGAGACTTACGCTGCTTGCGTCAGTGTGTATTTATGTCTCGGCTAATTCATCGAAATGCGCAAGTAACAGAGGCATCTGCATGCTTTGTTTTAGTTGCTGAAAAGCTTCCTCCTGCGGCGTTTCTCACTTGAACTCCACGTCGCTCCTGGTAAGGTTAGTGAGTAAATCGGCAAATCGGGCATGAACCGCTTATAATAGGCGCCCTGCCTTCTTGTCAGTGGGTGGCGGGAAGTCGGTGATGGCAGCTGTTTTCCGCGGATCGGGACGGACTACTAACTTGCTAATCACGCGTCCCAGGAACATGAGCTCTTCGTACGTGAATCGGCACTTATGTGGCTTAAGAGTAAGTCCTGACGCCCTGACAGCTTGAAGTACAGCTTTGAGGCACCGGAGATGCTCGTCAAAGCTCGCGGAAGACATGATGACGTCGTACAACGTTAGAACGGCCACAAGGCAAATCTGCCACAAGGCAAGTCACAAGGCAAGTCTGCCACAAGGAAGTACACAAGGCAAGTCTGCCACTTCAATCCTCCATATCTACTTAGAAGAACTTACCGAAATGCTTTCGGATAGCAGACTCTCCTGCGCTTCGGGGTGCCCCTGCAATGTAGAAAAAAGTCGTATTATGATAGTTTGCACCAGAAGGTAGCATCGGCAGTGCCGCACGGGTTGAATTATTTGAACTTCGCAAATAATCATTTTAGAGGAAGATTACGAAAACAAAAAAAAGAAAAATAGTTCAGATTTACTTTGTTACTTCTATTCTTGAAGTTCTCGCCTTTATATAAGTCTTCTGAGTCACCGTTTACGAGAGCATATTATGGCATCAAATAAATAAGCAATTCAACATTGGCATGCTTACTTTTCCGTACATACTTCATTTTTTTCAGTGTTACTGGTTTTTACTGGCTAAAGCCAGTTGTTCAATCACGCGCTGAAATCCGTGACTGAGAGTGTTCTGTATTGTATGCGGCCGTTCTAACAAAACTGAGTTCGTGAATCGAATGGTGTGGCACATGTTGTAAGCAATGTATATTCTGCACACTTTATTGGTATGACCCAAAATGCGTCAATTCTAGCTAACAAGGTGTCTTCATTTGAGGCCATAGTTCCAGAAGTGTTGACCATTCCAACAGCCTGAAATTGTGAAACTTGAGTGTGAATTCCAGAACGTCAGCCTCACCTTTTGCCTAGAATTTGTTTCTTAACAGTAGCCTACACGTATTCCGTCTGAGGGCTATCAGCCTAATTCAAAGGTTAAAGAGTATTTTTCCAAAATTTTGACAACGTCAAGTAAATTAAATGATATACTGTGGTTGATCAAATAAAAACACAAAAGCTTGTTTCTTTTACAACAGCTATCATGTATCTGACGCAATTCCTGGTACCATCACTTTTTTTGGGCCAATTGTTCAATTACAGCAGTGCTAAATTTTTAAGTATGTCCTTAATAATTTTAATAAATTTTGTTGCACGCCCAGAAGTTGTTTTATTATGTTTTTTTTATTTTTCGAATTGTTTGCTAAATTATTATCTGGCAAAACAGTGCCTAACGCACTTTACGTCACAATCTCTTTCAACATAATTACCAATGTACTCATAGAATCCCAGAAGTGTGTTTATTTTGCTAGTAGGTTGTGTGACAGTTGGTTTAGGAGTGCTACTTGGTCAAAGCTTGTGAAAAGTACAAACAGCGCAAACGGGACAAGCCGAACAAAGAAACACACAGGGCAGCTCTCGTCCAATGTGTTTATTTGTTCGTCTCGTTTAGATCACCCTGTTTGTACTTTTTACTTATGTTGTATGATAAGGTAACGTGTGTTTACGTGTAATGATGTACCTTAGTCATGACAATACATTAGGGAACAGCCACTCACACGAGTCGACGTCTGTCTCGGAATCATACACCACTGTCCACATTCCATACGAAAAGCCTGGAGCTAGCAAATTCTTTATGACTGCAGCCTACCTGATGAGAGAAGTAGCATTTATTAACTGCATTTATTCTGGATTACGTACAACAGTGAACTTAGCACAGAGGTGGATATACCGATCTGATGATGAAACTAGGCCACTTAAACAGTACACAAAAAGAATTGGAAAGCGTAAAATATTAGTACCTCAATTTATCAGGAAAGACGCGTAGTAAGTTTACTCGGTACAATAGACTGTGTTTATACTTCTCTATGAGTACGTCATGCCATCAAAATGTCCCCCCCCTCAAAATAAATTAGTCGACCATGACATAAATTATCTGTGAATATTACATATTCGTTACGTATTCAGTGTTTTAATTACCTACTTCTTTATAAGCTTCCTGTTCAGATATAGGTTTTGGCTCGTGAAGATATTGTTTCTATCATGCTAGCTTAGCCCTGGTCTTGGTGTTTATTGATCTGCCAGAAAAACCTGTATACTTTTGCTTACCTGCCGCGGTCTTCAACTCTCATGGCTGTAAACCCAGACCTATCCCAAACAATATCCATTATTCCAGCACACTCCCTGTGGTAAGAAAGTGAATGCACATGGTTAGCGAAAGATTCGCATCGCACCTCTCAATAAAAAACAAACAAAAATTGGGGCAACCACTCACGAAAGCAGCCAATCCAGGGAAACGGCGGAGCTCATTGCGTTCGCCTCATCCTCACCTTCACTTCCCTTTGCCACCTCTTGCTGAACCTTACTATACCATACTACATATGACTATGCTATGTTTCACAGCCTACCCTCATTATTTTCCTGCTCCTCTCGCCCAGTTTCATTACAAACCCCTTTGGTATACTACGCCATACGAGCCTTATTTTGGTCTCATCACTCCTCCTCCTCTCCTGCTCATCCTCTACTCACGCTTCTACTTTTCACATTCAGCTCATTTTCTCGCCCTCCCGCTATACTACACCATACAAGACTATGCACTTATATGCTAGTGAACATGAATAGCCGGGAAGTTACAATGCTCACATTTGGATCGTGCATTGGCGGCATGAAATCGCGGCTTGGGAAGAAGCTTTTTGCGTAAATTTCCTGTTATTTCTTTCTTTCTCTCCTTCTTTCTTCCTTTTTTCTTTCATTCTTTCTTTCTTTTATTCTTCCTTTCTTTTCTTTTTTTCTTTCTTTCTTTCTTTCTTTCTTCCTTTCTTTGTCTCTCTCTTTCTTTCTTTTTTTCTTTCTTTCTTCCTTCCTTTTTACCTTTCCTTCTTTCTTTATTTTTGCGTTATGTACGCTGATATTCCCAGAAATAATTGCGTTTTTTTGAATTACGAGATCGGACTTCTAGTGCTCTTTGCCAGCGTTGTTAATGTATCACATTCCAATTTGTTGCTGTCGCATTACCTCTTTCAGTCTTCCGTTGAAACTGAGATTTTTTTTTTTACGCCCATTGTGGGTTCTGGGTCAAATAATCTTTAACAGAGTGATTTTCGAGGCGAGTTGTCACGGAATGGCAGGTTCAAGGGTTCTAGCACGCTCAACCACGTTTATCTTTTTGTTTTTGGCTTCAGATTGGGATAATCGGTAATTCGTCTTCAACAAGCAGCATAGAGTGGACCTCCGACAAGGAGAAGACAAGTGCTGACTTCCAAGTGAGTATTTTTCAAAAAACGAACATGTAGGTATGTCAGCCACTACTTCTCGTGAGTAAGTGCAAGTAGTTGCGTCAACAAATGATTGATATGTGGGGTTTAACGTCCCAAAACCACTACATGATTATGAGAGACGCCGTAGTGGAGGGCTCCGGAAATTTAGACCACCTGGGGTTCTTTAAAGTGCACCCAAATCTGAGTACACGGGCCTACAACATTTCTGCCTCCATCGGAAATGCAGCCGCCGCAGCCGGGATTCGAACCCGCACCCTGCGGGTCAGCAGGGCGCGGGTTAGCCACTAGACCACCACTAGGGTTAGCCACTAGGGTTAGCCACTAGTGGCTAAGGTAGCGGCTACCTTAGCCACTAGACCACCGCGGCGGGGCTTGCGTCAACAAATGAAAAAAAAATCTTGTCGAACGTAATAGAATATACAAATGCACAATAAAAAGTAGTAAAAAGCATGTCGAAGCTGTGTACGGTGGTTCGCTACGTAGTCAATAAAGGCCAGTTCTTTTGACTTCAAGGCATCTAAGGGCTTGCTGACCGAATGTCTCTTCCAGTAATGTCATCGATGACGTAATGAAAACTTTTGTATGATCGTTCACGTTTTTTTTCAAGATAGCAGTTTGGTTGAACATGAAAGTACAGCTACACTGTGCCCGACGTTGAGCAAGGAAACCGTCACTTTTTGTGTACCTTCAAATTGTGTTCTTGTAAGTTGGTGTTCAGAGTCCCATGGACCAACATAATTGAGACTGCAAGGACAGAGATGGCGAGGAGCAGCTAGTGTCAAGGCATAATGTGGGAACTATTTTTTACGTACACCACATGCATGTCACATAGACAAAAGAAGATAGACATACATTCGGTTGTTGTTATTGTTGCGTGCTGCACTACTTTCATCAGTTTTGTGCCAGGACATGCTCCGAGGAGCAGGCACCGCGCTAGTGCAAGCGACCTCCACGGCGGGGCTGGCCCTAAGTTTCACTGTCGCAGTAAAATGGGCACTCGAGGAGTTGTTTTACAGATTCAACATGGAATTTGGCGCACAAGGTGGAGCCTGAAAGTATGGCCAGGAAATTCAATTATTTGCTTCAGGTTGAGCAGCAATCCCACAAACGTTCTACTTTACTTACTAGGAATAAGTGAGTTATTGTTTCGGCCTTTAATCTCGAATGGCCTTCGATATTTGAACTACTCAAGGGGAGAAACTCGGACTTGTTAAAACATTAGGCAATATTTAGCGCAAAGTGGCACAAGAATAAGAATAGAGGACTAATTATAGAGTAGAAGTTGGCCCACGTCTTGTGTCCTCCATTGTTGCCTATGTGTCAGGACAAGTAAGGGAGTTAAAGTTAGTCCCCGCGTTGTGTCCTCCATTCTCGCCCTTGTGTTACTTTGTGCTAAATATTGCCTATTGTAAGATTTAATTCAGCGCTCTTATTCTCTGTGGAAAGTAGTGATTTGTTCAGACGACAGGATATTCTTCTTAAAAGACGTGCACTTAAAAGAGTGTAAACGTGTGCTCTGAAGAACCATAAATTTCATTTGCCTTTTCCGCACGGAGGTTTCGCTGCAGAACCCTCAGAAATATTGCGGAGTCCGGTTCTGCGCTGGTGTGCAATAACGTTTTACTTTGCGCCGGCATTGATGTATTTGTTAAGGTTTTCTTATAATCGATGTATAGGCAATGCATCTGGCTTTTCGTTATTCAGTGACGTCAAGACAGCTTACAACAGAAAACAATTTACCCACTGCTGTGCAATCACTACTGGCGTTACGTAGCGCAAGCAATAAGAGGATAGCTAGAAGTTTGGAGGTATATAACTTAAATGTTAACACAGGGTAGGTTGCAAACGTATTTAATTTGAATGTTTTAGATACACGCTCAATATTTGGCCACACATTAGCTGTATACTTACATGGCAAAAAAAGGGTACAAATATATAGGCTCAATTAGGCAATGGTCGCAAAACTAAGTCTGCTTCAATGCACATTTCACCTTGTTATAATCAAGTTTACGTCTACTTACGACTTCCTGCAAGATGACTGTTTACTATCACGATAACACCTCATGGTAAACACTTCACGCTAAATACAATATAAAGGTCTCCGAAATAATTTGATGCTGTATTAAAACGAAAGCCGAAATGACTATAGCATCGTGCAGAAGATATGACGCTATGTCTAATCAACAAGAGTCACATGCACGTTATCTAACTTCATTTCGCCGATTACACACACTCATTTTTTTTCGAATTTGCACAGGAATAAATTTCGAACACGGAGATCACATTTCGATGCAGGAGATTACGACGACCGTGTACCTCAGTGCACACTCAGAAACGTCTTCCGGAGGAACTGCGCAGTTACCCCGAAAAGGGCTATTTGCTCTTCCAAAAGACGAAACGTGTGCAAAATGTTGCACGCGGCGCGGTAAGGAGAGGCACTTTCCTCCTTGTTGAGTAAAGCACCCTTTTTTGGAGTAACCGCATGAATGTTCGTGCAAAAGTCCCATCGATGCCTACACAAGCTTGTTTACTGGAAGACGGTGTCGTAGCGTGGTGTGGTGTAGTGGTCAGTGTACGCTCATGCTAACTTAGTGGTCTTAGTGGTCGTGAGTTCAAATCCCGTCTGTTCGCTGGAAATGATCTGAAATAAATTTCTGAATGTGGTGCTCGCACATCAATTGTACATCGAATCAAATGCCGGCACGTACTTCGAAAAATGATCGAGCCAATGAAGATAAAATTTTTCTTTTGCGCAAAGTGTTGCTCCCTTCAGGAGCAACTTCGCAGTTCCTTCCAATTCGGAGATAGGGGTACGCAGGTTAGTTACTCCTCTATAGGAGCAACCTAGATATTCCTCTTCCTCTTTCACTTCTTAGAGTGTAGATGTCGAAATTTTGAAAGCACTCCGCTGTGGTATCCCTAATTATCATAGTGTTTCCTCAGGACGTAAAATCTGAACAACTGTTGTTATTACATCATTTCACAATAGGTCACAAAAGAGAATTCATTGTTCTCAATTTATACTTTCATTGTCATTCTTATTGGGAACATATGCATACTTTCATAGGCCTATACCTAACTAAAAGAGCTACTTCTCTAAGTTGTCCACAAAATGATCTTTACGTAGTCATTAAAAAAAACGAGGAGAGTCAACATTAGAAGCGATATTTTTGTTTGTGTGCTGGTTCTTTGTACTTTCATAGTGAGATACATACGACATCAAAGCCTTAGAATCAAAATAAGGCTCTTGACGAAGGTGAAGTCGTCATTTACCTTTTAAAGTCGAAAATGTTGCAGATAAACACTTGAAGTCGGTGGTCTGGCGTCTATATACACAAGAAGTAAATAGAAGAAATCTTACAAAATTGCCTTGTGGTAGGCCACAACGCCGTTGCGTCAAGTCAAGCTTCAATGAATACACCACAGTTAGGGAAATTCACAATGGCGCTGCTTTCACTTTATTAAAACATAACAGCGTCGCTATGGGCTAGTCATAGTTTCATGCTCGAGGACGGGCGTCACACAAATAAAGCCAAGCATACGTGTTGAGAAATACAAGCCCTTGCTGCAGCTAAGTTACCCGCATAACTGCCGTGCTACAATACTGGGAAACAGATACCTTTTTTGGCGCAACAAAACAGCAAACCATTTGGCGGAAAAATAAAACACAACATATAAACAAGAGCTGCATGTCACACTAGTTATGCGGAAAAAGCCATGCCTCCTTGTTAAGGAAAAGAAAGCGTGCCTGAAGGAAGAGCTTGGGAGTATGCTAGAGGCTCCTATTATCCCACCGTTCGTACGCCATATGCATTGCCGATAACCATAGTGCTTAAGGAAGATGAGAGCCATCGGCTTTTTACGAACTACAGAGCCATTAACAGCCAGAGGCATCTTATTTCCTTTCCTATGCCCAGAATAAATCAAATGATAGCCAAGACAAGTGGATTTTTCTCCTTTTATAGGGTCGAAATATGTAAGGGCTTCTGCCAAGTACCTCTTCAAGAGGATACAAACCAGCACAGCGCTTTTAAAACAAAATTCGACTCTTACGAGTACAACTGGCTCCCGTTCGGATGAAAGAACCTGCCTAGCCGGTTCCAGAAAATGAATAATACGGTTCTACATCCCTTCATTGGATACTTTTGTAATGTATACGTGGCGGATATCATCGTAATTCTAAATGTGAAGCCCTCCATGAACATCTGGTTTCCGTTCTCAAAGCTTTGACAGATGCTGACCCTGAAGGTCAACTTTAAGAAGAGCGAATTGCTTAGGATCAAGATTACTTTATTGGACAGAGTCCATGATGTCACTACAAATGACCCTAAGAGAAATTGGTGGTGCGCATAGCGAAACTCGTGAAGCCCTTCGATGTGCACTCCCCACATATTTTTAAGACTAGCTGACCATTCTAAAGCATTTATATAAACTTATGCTCTTAAAACTGGATTCCTAATGAGACCTGTGAAACAATATGTATTATTTCGCTCGGTAGGTGACTGTGAAACAGCCTACAAAGATCTGATACGAGTTACATCATCAGATATATTCCTTACCCTACAAGACTTTGATCTACCATTCGAGCTCAGCACATATGCGTTCCACTACAGAACGGCAGCAATACTTTACCAGCGAGACGAAATTCAACCATGTGATCGCCTACTCCGCGTAATTAGGTACGACACTCATACTTGTAACAAAGTGGAAGTGAACTATACAAGAACGGAGAAATGATGTCTGGCCGTTCTAAAGATTGTTCGACACTTCCGCTCACATGTAGACAGATTTAAGTTGTACACTGAACATGAGGTAATTACCCACCGTTTGAAAATGGCAAAGCCAAAGGAAAAAGTCCCACGGTGGGTAAGCGAGCTACCACTGTTCAACTTTGAAGGCAACCATCGCCCAGGAGCTTCAATGAAAGATGCCGATGCAATGTCCAGATTGGGGGTCATACTTTTAGACGTATAATGGAAAACCATAAATATAGAAAAACTTTGGAAAGGTACTGAATCTTTACAACTCAAAGAAATGGGTAGAATCGCAGTGCCTCCTGCAATAATTCCGGAAATTCTCGACCTATACGACATGAGTCATCATTCGGGGGGATCACGATGGTTTCTCACGAACCTAGATGAAGCTTACCAAACGGTTCACATGGCCCGCCATAAAATAAGACAAGAAAAAGTATGTGCAATCGTGTCATGAATGCCAGATCACCAAGGTAAAGTTTAAACAGCCAACCCAACAAAATGTGTTACCAAACAACTCTACTACACCATTTGAGGTGATCCACATGGACTTCGCTGAACTTCGAAAAAATCTGAGTGTGAAGGAATCTGAGACTTTGTGTCGTGCGTTGATGACTGTGCTGGAATGGTGGCAATAAAAGCGGGAAAGGAGGACGCCAACAGTGTAATCTCTTTTCTAAACCGCAAGATGTTTTACAATGTGACGGTATTGCTGACGATATCGCTGGATTAGCCTTCTGCAGTCACCCTTTGAATGAACGGGCAAAGTGTCGAGGAGTTACGCTCAGGTTTACTGCACCGTATCAACCAGCAGCTAATGGGCTAGTGTATCGAGCTATTCGAGACATCAAAAGTACTGAACTATGTATCCTGACTTCTCAGGTGGATGGATACACTGTCTTGAAGCTGCAGTAGCTCATAAACGGCCCTATACGACAGCTCTAGGATGCACCGCGCTGTTTGCTGTTACGAGAAAACCAACATTTTTGCCAGCTGACAAGACTTTAGGACGCCAGGCGATGGTTCGCCTGACGAAGGAAAGAAAAACTGGAGAGTGCGAAGTACCAGGAGAGGAAGATGACGTAGTATTTTGACAAAAAAAAAACAGTATACAACAGACCGAAGAAAAAAGTGGGAGACTTCGTACTTGTAAAAAAAAAAAAGAATGGCCATACTCGGGTGCGAATCACAGAGGCCCATTCTCTGTTTTCAAGACAGCAAACCAACAGGAACACTTAAAGACCATCGAGTATACAGGCCCTAATGGCACCGGTGAATCGGCGTCTATAGCTAATAATTTCAAATATCATTCCAGGAGAGACGAAAACAAAGGTGGAGTAAGTGAAGCAAGCTGAAGCAGTGGAGGAAGAAGACGACTGAATTGCGCCAAAGGCAATAGGTGGGAAGGGTGAACGTGTGGAATAAAGTGATAAATGGTGACCTGAAGAGTTATGTCTGTCGCAAATATGTGCGGTCTTATTTCAACTTGTTCTTGAGTATCTGTTCTTTTTAATTTTTTCTACCACGCCAGTGTCAGACATGAAAGCAATACTAGTGTTATCGACACATAACTTGTCTCTTAGGACATTTTCGAAAGAATGTCACAGTTTCTTTTCCTTGCTGTAGAAGGGCGTGTTGGAGTTGTAATCTCTTTTTATATTGCTACTGTACACAAGACAAATGTCAGCAGTGGAGCCCAGACTACAGTCCTAGTTCTACAGTAAAACATTGTTGATTGATTGGTTGATGGTTTAACGTCCCAAAACCACCATATGATTATGAGAGACGCCGTAGTGGAGGGTTCCAGAAATTTCGACCACCTGCATGGGGTTCTTTAACGTGCACCCAATTCTGAGCACACGGGCCTACAGCATTTCCGCCTCCATGGGAAATGCAGCTGCCGCCGCTGGCATTCGATCTCACGACTTGCGGGTCAGCAGCCAAGTATCTTAGCCACTAGACCACCGCGGAGGGGATGCAAAACACTGTTGAAGGAAACATTACGTGGTATTCACATACTTGTTTTTTTTAATCAAAATGAACTTCGCATCGAAAGTATTAAAAAAAGCCTTTAAGGCACCATAGGACTCGCTTCATTTTCTCGCGGAACAGGTCCACCTTTCAGTTACATAATTTTTGGAATGAACCTAATAAGTATCCCACACCTGAGTATAAAAAACGCGAGGATTGAAAAGAAAGCATGACGACAAGGCGCTATCTACAGTTGATGTGTCCTCATGTCCTCTTTACCATCATAGGGTTTTTTTTTTGTCGCAAAACTATAAGATGTACCGTATCGAACATCCTATCAGTCAGTTTTATTGAGTATTTTTGTGGGAGGCTTTGCATACCCTGAATATCTTGCACTTGATGATGGGACAAGTAGCCTCCTCAATTTGAAGGCCACCGTCATTGAAGTAGCTCCGCACGCATTCCTCCACAAATTCAACTCCGATTACATTGTGCCCCATGTCATAAAACCTGAGGAGAAAAAAGTGAGATTACTAAAAAGCAAGAATGTAAAACTTGAATATGTAGGAGACGTTGAGAGGCCCAAAACCCGCTTTTCAAACTGGAACAATGCTTTAATTGCATTCTTCATCTGTTCCATTGTGTATACACCATTGTGTAGCTGGTTAAGTAAACCTATTCGTCTGAAATCTTCAATAAACCTTAGGTGCATTTATTACTTGAAATGACTCTCAGAGATACCACCTGACATAAATCATGAACAATGTTAGAAAAAGAGAGAGATAATAAAATGAAACAAAAGCAGGGAGGTCAACCAGGATTGGAAAACAACACAAATAAAGTCAGCGTATCCTCCTTTAACAGGATTGAATGACTTCTTAATTCACCTGTACTTGCTTATATGAATGTTGGAACCAAGTTATAAGGCGCGAAAACGACGATGAACAACGAGGGGAGATATTTGTATAGACCTTTTCAATGACGGCTCTCTGGGCGCCGCCATATTCCTCTCTGGGGTTAGTGCGCGTGAGCCCCCCAAAAATGGACTGCCGAGGCTGTGAAATCAGCATATCAGCATTTGCACCCTCGTGCCACAGGCCAGAAAGGAGAAAATCCTCGTCTTTGTAAAAAAGGTGTATAGACAGTGTTGTTATACTGCTTAGATGCGCAGTCGCATTTCATCGGTGGCCAAATGACCCCTGTATGTCTCTCTCTTTCTCCTTTTCTGTCATTGTCTTTGTGCCTCTAACCTTGGATCGCGCGATGGAGGCGGAAATGTTGTAGGCCCATGTACTCAGATTTGGATGCACGTTAAAGAACCCCAGGTGGTCAAAATTTCCGGAGCCCTCCACTACGGCGTCTTTTATAATCAAATGGTGGTTTTGGGACGTTAAACCCCACAAATCAATCAACCTTGGATCGCGGTAAGCCCACATGGCTAGTTGCGCAGACTATGAATCGTGAAGCCTTTCATAAAGAATTGTTTTATCATAACTTGCAGAAATGTGGAATTTTTACGAAATGTTCAGTAGACATAAAAAAATAATTACAATACATGGTGTGAAACTCCACAGCAGTAGAATATTTTAGCTGCTTTCCACCAAAACAGTAAGGACTAGCCCATGGTCTGTTACAATGTGAAGAATATATTATAGCGTAAACAAGAAAAAGATATCTAAGGAAACAAGAGAACACTGCACCATGTCGGGAGGTATACACTTGAACATATGAAGGGCAGCGCACGGCCTGTTGGATCTGTCGCTTTGTTTCTCGAGTGTTCGTATCGTATTTGCACAAATTTCTCCCCTAGATGCTAGCCGGTTTTCAAACCAGTCCCATCTGGTGTGCCAAGGCAGTGGAATTCATAAGCATGACATCCTTTTAGCTTCCACGGTAGATGACCCTCAAGTGAGCTTGTGTCGAATACGAGCGCCGTTATTCGGGCACTTCAAACGAGACAACCAAGGTTTTCAACGAGAACATACGAGAATTTTGACGAAGTTACCCAATATCATCTACGACGCATCCTGGCAATCAGGCCAAAAGTTTAAGTGCATTCTTTGGCCTTTATGCTTTCTTACAGTACCTTATTTCCAAAGTTGTCAGTGGCACTAGCAAAATACAATCTACTCTTGTTTAGCGTCATTCGCGTTTACCTTCTCGTGCGCCGAAAACGTATTGACCAATTACGATGGCGACGTTCCAAAAGCAGATTCGGCACAATGAATTTGCTTGCTTAAACAACAGCCACAGGTCAGTGTTCTTTCAACTCGATAACATCAAAGGGATATCTTGAAGAATTTTTAGTGTCGGTGTCGTTGGTTGCGAGCGAAAATTAGTGTTATATGTGAACAAAAATTTTAGATGGTCAAAAATGAGTAATGACAAGTGCAAGCCCTGAGTGAGAATCTGAAACCAGGCTTTCTGCAAGGCAAGCAATAAGTTACGCCAGTGATTGACACTGCTTTGCTAAAAAGCATTATAACAAAGTCAGTTTTAGAGAGAGCACTTCCCTTAATGCCCGTGAGAGAATAGTTAGAGTGCACCATACGTCAAAATTTTTCACTTGCCCGAAGAGTTTGTGCAGAGACAGCAAACAGTGACATGCTCATGGACAAGTGCAAAGTGTAGTGTGGTGTAGTTTGGGGGCTTCTGCCTCTGCAGGCGTGTGAGACAATAGGGCTGGCTTAACATCGTGTCAACCGTCTTTAACAGGACGCCATTCATGCTTGCGTATTCTTTCAATTACGGAGGGGTCAGCGATTTTCAGAGAGAAAATAACTACACAAGGCGCATCAGTATTGGCAGAATTGAAGATTGCGTCATAGTATACCCACCACCTCAGTTCATGTGCTTTTCCGCAAAGTGGTAAGAACACACGAGCTCCTGTTCTTCCCCTGAGGAGAGTTTCTTTGTTGTTAATCAATAGTCTGAAAATAGATAACACATTATTTTAGCAACATCTCGAAAATTTTTAATGATTATTAAACATCTAAGCTATGTTTATCTGAGGCGAAATTAAGGCGTGTGAATCAGCATGCTACATTTGGAATACTAGAGAGAAAATTTTGTTACAGAAATAAAAAGTCAAGAGGAAAAAAACTCCTGTTTACGAGCTAAAGCGACCTTATTTCAAGGGCTCGTAGTCATCTGAACGTTCTTATTACTGTGAAATAAAAAAAAGCATTTCAGTCAGAGAGTCTATACGCGGTTTATCGAAAGATAGACGACATCCACACATATATGCACAAGTATACCTATAGACAGAGCAAGTAATACACGACATAGACAGTTTGTTGGCTACCCAGCCATACAAAAAAAAAATCTGCTACACCTGGTATATATAGCCATGATGTTTCGCCCTAGCTGTCAGTGCCCTTGGAAATACTTGTAGTCTACACAGGTAAACAAGACATATTCGCAGAATCCGTCTGCGTTGCTGCTGAGCGAAGAGGTAGCATTTAAAGAGCAGATCGGTACGTCGAAACTCGACCGGTCATGAAAGCGTTTTGCAATTAGCCAATTCAGTGATTACCTGGCCTTTTGCCATACGGGCCTCAGGTGTCCCGACAATCCATAACACGACTGGCGTAAATAGCGGTGTTTTACGCAAATCATTAACCCTGACATCCGTAAAATAAAATGCTATTCCTAGAAGCACAATAACCTTCAACACCCAGTTTTTTTGCGAATTCTCACCTGAAGAAAGAATGTTGTGGTTTTTCAAACCACACTATGCGTGAACAATGGATTACAGTGTATAAGGTTAAACTTTTTCATTTTTACTGTAATAGAATTTCTGACATTTTAAGTATTAGAGATGGCGTATTAGGAAGAAAAACTTCTTCATGAACAGAAAAATGAAGAAATCGTTTTGTTTAGAGAATGACCCTATTTTTTACACCGAAAGCTGTATAAGTCTAGATGAAAAAAAAAAAAAGCCGTTCGCCACGACAAACGATAAAAGCCTCTATTGGCTACTTCAACAGTTACGTCGCTCTCTACGTCACCCTCAGGCCAGGGTGCGGCAGTTTCAACGTAGTAGCATTGAAAGAGAGAAAAACAAAAAAGAAATAAAGAACAGTGCAGCGCTGAGCTGCCTTTCTCAGTGGCAGTCGCCACAACAGCACTGCAAAGTGATGCGGAGTGGGAGAGAAAATAATGTGAGAGAGAAGTCTTTATATAGCGTCGGGAAAGAAGTAGTTCAGCCCCACCCTTTCCATTGCCTCTTAGCCAAGGAAATCCGTCAAGCAGAGCGACAGGCAAAGGAGGGATGTGAACAAAGTTCGCGTGACGGGCTAACCAGCGCGTGGGGAGCTCGACGTAGAAGGAAAGCTCAGCTAACAACTTCGACTTGGGGGCGGGGCATGAATCGTATGAATGCACAAACAGTGAGCAACTTTCCAAGAACACCGCCGACACAGCTGATCCGTGAGGTAATTTATGTGCGCCGGGCCAATGCAGCAGTCCGGGTTCAAGACCTAGCCCGGATCGTGAAGCGCAAGGAGCATCTGCGCACCAATAAAGTAAGCTCCTGAAGGAACCTTCTCTCTGCTTGACTGCCTTCAAATGTTTCCAACTACCATTTAGCATATCTCCTCCACTCGCCTCTGTACTTTCCTTCGTTCTTTTCCTTCTGCACACCCTATTCCACTCGTTACCTTATTATATCGCATATTGCTGTGCTATGTATGACATGATCTGTGTTTCTAAGTTCTTACATGTTTTGTTCGTGAATTTTGCATGCTGTAAAATATTTCACCTGGTAGAGCTCAGTTTGAAGTTCTCTGTAAACCGCTATAAAGTGTAACGTCATACGGCCACTCCACAAATGGAAGCGGGTTTGTGCAATCAGTTATCACATCAAGGGCATACGACTCTTTCGGGGATGTTTGCTGAGATAGCGCTCAAGGCCACACACTAATAGTCACAATCCATACTTGCTGCTCAAGTGACACAGCGTCCCCCCCCCCCTACCCTCGACCTGCCCTCGCTCTATGTGTGTGTTTTTACCCGCGGGTAGAACATACGTTGTGCAAGGGGATCTTATCAATTTGAAGTTATGCCATACCTAGTATGGTGCATAGGGATAAAACCTGTACAGTCTGTCCATATCGTTTTTTTTGCAAAAGATGCTTAAACAGCTGCAAAGAATATTTCTCAGTTTATTATTTCTTCTTATAACTTTTGCCATGGTATGACAACTTATGAATCAAAACCTGCTATATTCTAGTAAGCAGTGCTAGCGCAAACAGTTTTGCGGTCGTGTTGTACCACAATAAACGGTGCGAACGCCCCAAGTGATTAAAGAGTACAAATCCTGCCAAGTGAGTGCACACTACTAACATTACACGCCGCCGTAAAATTTACCCTCATGCGTCTCCCCGCAATCGGGCGTTCATGAAAATGCATGGTACTGTTGCGATCGCGAAACGATGTTTTGTTACTGCAGAAATGGCTCGACAAAGTCACATTCCAAGAGCAGCTGTTACTAAAGGTAAATTACTCCTTTACGAATGCTATCCGAACATTGCACTGTCCCACAGTCGTCAGGAGGTCGTTACTGCAACTTCAGCGCCACCTGTTATGTGTGTATTGCTGTGCTTGACGTCATCTCTTGTTAACTCTCGTCACATAAGCGCCGGTATCTCGTGCCTACACAGCTCAGGCGGCATGGTGCTTCTTTACTTTAAATGCAAGCATTCTTACCGAATCCATCCATCCATCCATCCATCCATCCATCCATCCATCCATCCATCCATCATCCATCCATCCATCCATCCATCCATCCATCCATCCATCCATCCATCCATCCATCCATCCATCCATTCATTCGTCCGTCCGTCCGTCCGCCCGTCCGTACATACATACATACATACATACATACATACATACATACATACATACATACATACATACATACATACATACATACATACATACATACATACATACATACATACATACATACATACATACATACATACATACATACATACATACATACATACATACATACATACATACATACATACATACATACATACATACATACAAGTAGCCCCCTACGATTTTCAGCTCTCCTGACCTATCTGTACTTCAGTAGGGTTGAGAGCTGGGTTAGTATCTGTACTTGTGTGGCAGTGGCATAACATGACTGTATGACGAGCATAGGTGACCAGTCATAATATGAAAATCATGACATGTATGTCATGATTGTCATGATTTATGTCATGAGCTTGCTGCCCTTGCGGTGCTTTAGTTCACATGACATAGTGCAAAACTGGTTTGTTATGACATCACTGCATGGCGAACATAAGTGACAGACCCTAACGTGTAAAAGAGGAAATGCATGATGTTATGATCGGCCTGCCTGGCTTGATGCCGCTTTGACACATGAGACATTGTGGCTGAGCCTACCCTGATTCCTTCCGAGTCGGTGCTCCCAGAGATGCATCAAGAGCGGCGACGACAGAGTTCTTCTAGTTATGCCAGGTCGGCGGCGCCCCTCGTAAAACCCGTTGAACACGCCTGACCGACTGACAAATTAGGAAGAGTTGTTGGCCGTCGAGGCGGCTTGCTTTGTCGTCAAGGTGCCCTGGCCAGAGGGCCCAGTGTCTGACAATCGTCTGCGGATACATTTCACATGTTCTCCGTGCCGCCTTGATGCCGCTGTTTCCACAATTTGTGGTCTGCCTGGCGCCGCACAGCCATCACTGCAACAAATTGCGGAATTGACTTCCACGTAAGACTCAACGTCTTCGTGCTGCGCTGTGTCCTGCGCGGTGGGCAGTGTTTTCTTCTCGCCACGGGCTGAACTGGGCGTGCCTCTTTCCCCTTTCGGGGGTTAGGAAGGAGGTGGCGTTTCATCTTCCCCTTTCGAGGGCGAAGGTGAATATGGCAATTTTCATTGGACTGTTCTGGCCTCCATTGTTTTCCTGCAGAGAATCCTGGGAAGGACAGGACATAAAATGTGAGCGCCGAGGCGCTCCTGACAAGCTCTCACAAGCTCCCGGATGCTATTATTATGCTTCCGTCGAGAGCTTCCATGATGCTACCATCATCATGTAACACGCTACCTGTAAATATTGTAATTAAGTATTCTGTTAACAGCTCCCGGCTCCTCTCATTGACATCTCCTCGAGACTCTGGCTTTCTCCGATCCTCTGGGCAGACCCCCGACTACATCAATGTCATTGAAGTCATGACTACACGTCACGCTCATGGTGCGCTCACAGTCGTTTGGCTAGCTTCACTTAGAGCAAATTTGGTATTACGGGACGTGATCGGATTGCGAAGGTATGTGACAGGCGCAAACATGACAGTACTGATATGCGTGTCTTGTGGGAACATGACTACATGCCGCGCTCATCTTGCGCTAGCAGCCGTTGCGCTAGCTCGCGTACACCAAACTTGATATTACGAGATGCGAAAAGATGACGAAGGTAAATGAGATGTCCAAGCATGATAATCATAACATGCGTGTCATGGAAAACATGAATTGGATGCTACGCTCATACTGCGCTCGCGGTCGTTCCGCTAGCCTCGCATTTACAAAGTTGGTATTCCGCGTCGTGAATGGACGACGAATACAACTGCCAGGCGAAAACATGATAATCATGCAATGGAATTCATGTATGGCCGAATTTGCGTCCACCTCGTAGCGTTGTGCTGATTGCAAAGTGTCATTTCAACCTTCCTCACTCTTGCTTCGCATATAATTGATCGGCACTGCCACTTTCTTTTCATTTTCGCAAGGCCAGGTCCATATCGTTTGAAGCAGCTATGCCAACAAAACGTCAAAAGGGCTGGTTAGTGTTGAAAAATTTTCCATCTGTACGCTTCCATCCGGCGCTGAACGTCTGCCCCAATTTAAATCTTTACCATTATGTCAATCTGCAGTTGATATAATGACGAGTATTAAAATCACTCACTTGTGCACTCCGGGCTGCTGCCACATGGTGTGTCCCTGTTTCCAGAGATGGCTCCAAAATTCTTTAGTTTCTCTCGAAGTTGCACCTTCCATTGGACTCGTTGGTACGATGACCTAATATACGCATATAAAGCGGCGGGTGAGCTAAAGAAAAAAAATAGCACTTACCGAGGCTCCGTTCACGTTCGCAAGTGTGCCAGCATGCTTGTGATTCAAGCTTTGCAGGACTGCATGTCATGAATCAACGCCATAGAATAGTTGGATAGTTACTCTTGCACCTGCGATGTCACTTTGCACCTGCGCTTTACTTCAGCTGCGTCAGCGGATACGATGCCACACACAGATATTATGAGGAAGAGCTTTATTCGAGGCGAGCTCGAGCTGGCACACACTGATGATGATATCTACAGATGAGGAAATTATACAAATGATAATGACACGTCCAATTGATAATGAAGAGTTGGTGACTGCGCTCACGCTAATTCCCCGTCACGCTGGAAGCGGCCTCCTGGCCGCGCGAGAGACAATATTAGGAATTGCGTCAGGTGTACAGTTTCAGCCGAGGAACGTGCACAATTTCTGTCCCACGGCAACGGTGGTCGGAGGGAGCGTTAAGTGGTGAGATACGGTAATTAACGGTTGACGTTTGTTCAATCACCGAATAAGGCCCATAAAACGACTGAGGAATTTTTCACATAAGCCGGGCACACGCACGGGAGTCCACAGAACAACTTCGTCTCCTGGGGAAAAGGTGACAGCACGGTGTGTTGAGTCGTAGCGAGACTTGCGAGCTTCCTGAGAGATGCCGGTGTTGATTCGGACCAGATGACGGCAGTGCTCGAGGCGAAACAAAAATTGTGTGGATAAAGGGCTTGCTGAGGTAGCAGGAGCCGAAAGGAAGGAGACGTCCAGAGTTACACTCGGAGAGCAGCCATGGACCAGAAAATAGGCAGAAAAGCCGGTTGTGCGTTGCGTAGCTGTATTGCAGGCGAACGTTACGAATGGCAAAATGGCGTCCCAGTTCGTGTGGTCAAGGGTTAACGTACATGGCAATCATGTCCGAGAGGGTACGATGAAAGCGTTCCGTCAAGCCATTTGTTTGAGGATGATAAGTAGAAGTTGCTTTGTGGATGGTGTTGGCGGCTCGTAGAACCTCAGCAACAATAGAGGAAAGAAAGACCTTGCCGCAGTCGCTGAGCCGAACACGTGGGGCTGCATGGCGTAAAAATATGTTACGCAGAAAAAAATCAGCTACTTCAGTGGCTGTACCAGCGTGCAGTGAGGCGGTTTCCGCGTAACGAGTGAGGTGGTCAACAGCCGTTACAATCCAACGATTTCCATTGAAGGTCACGGGAAGGGGGCCGTACAAGTCTATCCCGACGACTTCGAATGGCAAAGCGGGACAAGGAAGAAGTTGGAGAAAGCCAGAAGGAGCAGTAGTGGGTCGTTTCCGCCGTTGACATAAGGCACACGAAGAAACATATTTGGCAATCGCGGATGAGAGGCCAGGCCAGGTGAACCAACTGCGTATTTTGTCGTACGTTTTGTGATAGCCGAGATGCCCAGCAGCAGGATCATCGTGGAATGTCTCAAGAACCTGACGTTGTCGACAACGTGGTATAACGGGGACCCATTTGTTTCCTTCAACGTGGTAATATAGCGATGTGAAACACCATCGTGAAGCTTGGATTGTTTCATTTGTCGGCGTAGTCAAGCGTTCGGAGGAGTGGATGTACCTTCTAAGCGTGCTATTATGGAGCGGCAGTAAGGGTCAACGCGTTGATGCGACACAAGGGTAGAAGGGCGGCCGGATCTTAGCCAACTGAGACCTGCGATGGGTAATGCAGCGGTGGAAATTAGTGACAGGGGGTTATTACGGTTGGGTAGAGTGCTGCGAGAGAGAGCATCAGCATCTTGGTGCTTCTTACCAGACCTGTAGACGACATCAAAGTTGTGCTCTTGTAAACGAAGCACCCAGCGGCCAAGACGACCCGATAAGTTCTTTAGCGACGAAAGCCAGCACAATGCGTTGTAGTCGTTGACGACTGTGAAGGGGCGGCCATGGAGGTATGCACGAAATTTTTGTACCGCCCATACAACAGCAAGGCACTCTTGTTCGGCTATTGTGTAATTTTTCTCGGCAGCAGTCAAAGCACGAGTGGCGTAAGCAATGACACGTTCGCGTGCGGTGTTGTCACGCTGCAGTAGAACGCACCGAGACCATCACCACTGGCGTCATTGTGAAGAATTGTGGGTGCACCTGGATCGAAATGACATAGTACCGGGTCGGATGTCAAGGCTTGCTTCAACGCCAGGAAAGCCTTTTCACAGTCTTCAGACCAGACAAATGCCGTGTTACTTGCGAGCAGTTGATGGAGCGGAGAGGCAAGCCTTGCGAAATTGCGTATGAAGCGCCGAAAGTAGGATACCAAGCCGAGAAAACTGCGCAGGTCTTTTTGACGCAACGAACGGGGAAACTCGAGGACGGCGGCAAGCTTTTCAAGATCCGGTCGACTACCGTCTTTGCTGACTAAGTGCCCTAGAACCTTGATTGTCTTGCTTGCGAAGGTGCATTTTTTCGTATTCAGCTGTAAACCAGCTTTTGCAAGGCAACCTAGGACTTCTTCGAGACGTTGTAGATGTTGCGAAAAGGTAGACAAAAACATAATGAAGTCGTCTAGGTAGCATAAGCAGGTTTTCCAGTTCAGGCCACGCAGTACGCTGTCAATAATACGTTCGAAGGTAGCAGGCACGTTACAAAGCCCGAAAGGCACTATGTTAAATTCATATAGCCCATCTGGGGTGGTAAAAGCCGTCTTCTCTTTGTCAGATTCGGACACTGGTATTTGCCAGTAGCCTGATCGCTGGTCAAGGCTCGAAAAATACTCTGCGCGATGCAACGAATCTATTGCGTCATCAATCGTGGGAGAGGGTAAACATCTTTGCGCGTTATTTTGTTCAGTGCCCGGTAATCAACGCAAAAACGTACCGTTCCGTCTTTCTTTTGCACCAACACAACTGGCGAAGACCACGGACTCGAGGAAGGACGTATGATATTTCGTCGAAGCATGTCTGATACGTTTTCCTCGATTATCTTCCTTTCTGCGAGAGACATGCGGTATGGGCGCCGGTGATTTATTCGGGAGCCGTCAGTCTGAATTCGGTGAGTCGCAGGAGTTGTCATACCAAGGACAGCGGAATGAACGTCAAACAAAGGGCGATGTCTGTTAAATAAATGCAGCAATTCTTGACTTTGGGCTGCTGTCAAATCAGGGCTTATCGCCACCGATAGAGGAGTGGGAGAGTTGAGTGGCGGCGTGCTTGGCTCTGGTAGGTCTTCTGGACTTGGAAGAGCAACAACTGCAAAGGGATGCGGGTCAATAGCGCATGTGACTGTTGATCCACAGGGCAACAATAAGGGTTCGGGGGTCTGATTTAACGCAGTAATAAAAGCAGACCCTTCAGAAAAACGAACAAGGCCATGAATGATCAGAATGCCTCGATGTACCGTATGGCCATAAGGTAGTAGAAGCACGTCGCCATCCACAATGTTGCTGCAATCAACGCTAATTACTTCTTCTCGGGATGGCCAAAGAACTTAATCTGAAGTGGTGACGAGACGAATGCGCTGTTCGTGTTCCGATACAGAAGAGTCGGTGGGATTGAGGTGGATGAGGCGCTGACGACAAGATATAGAAGCGCGCGCAGACGACAGAAAATTCCACCCCAAAATGAGTTCGTGGGTGCACTCACGGAGAACTGCAACAGCAATATGAAGACGAATACCGTCTATGAAAACACGAACTGTACACTGTGCGAAAGGACGACAAATGGCGTTCGTCGCAGCACGGAGAGACGGGCCCGAGTAAGGTGTTGTTACTTTGCGGAGACAGGAGCAAAGGTCAGAGCGAATAATGAAAATAGCAGCGCCGGTATCCACTAGAGCTTCGACGCGCATACCTTCGACTAACACTGTTAACAAGTTCGATGGTCTGTCTGGAGGAATTGCTGGCTGTCCGGTGGATGCAGTTTCCCCTCCTAAAACTGCATTGGGGAGTTGTCCGAGTGGGCATTCAGAACATTCGAGGCGGGTCGCAGAGGCGACACGGAACGGCGATTGGGAGACGGTGAGCGGCGGCGAGACTCACGGGAGTTCACAGGCAGACCACTACTGTAAGGTGGAGAGAGCGAACGCTGAAAAGAAGACCGGTAAGGCGTGCGCTGGTAATTCGTGAGTGGACTGAAGCGTCCGCGTTCCTCTGAAGCGTAGCCCCGTTGCTCGTCCTATTGACGCCTTCGGCAAAAGCGAGACCCCTATAGCCGCAATAATAACAGATTGGGCGTTGAGGACGCGGCATGGCGTAATACGGCTGTGGGCGCATCGGTGGTCACACTGACGCCACAGGTACATGGCCACCTGGTGTAGCCGCTGGGATAGTAATGGGTGCTGAGAGCGCCGCGACTTCTGCGTACGTTGGTACCTGACGAGGTCTGGATTCGGCGAAACAAGGTGAACGATGTCGCGGACCAGGGCACGGATGTCGAGGGCCGCAGGAAGATGAATGTCCGAGGCATCACGGCAAAGACGAAGAGACCGAAGTTCTTCTAGTCTCTGGCAAATGGTGACGACATCTTGAGTCGTGGTAGGGTTTTGCGACGCAAGGGCGTTGAATGCGATGGTATTTATGCCTTTGATAATATGACGTATTTGTTCGCTTTGAGGCATAGCTGAATTTACACGCTTGCACAAGGCAAGAACATCCTCAATGTACGAGGTGTATGATTTACCCGCCGGCTGAATGCGTTCAGCAAGCTTCTTTGTTGCTGCTTTGGCGCGAACACTGGGGGAACCGAAAATCTGACGGAGCTGCCGTGCGAATGTGTCCCAGTCGGAAAGATCTTGGAGGTGGTTTCAAAACCAGGTTTTGGCAACATCAGTTAGGTAGAAAGGGACCGTACGCATCTTGTGTAGAGTATCTCACCTGTTCAACTCGCTGACGAGGTCGTAGGTGTGTAGCCATTCTTCAACGTCATCCCCTTTGAGACCCGAGAATACTGGCGGATCACGCTGGTGGCTGTGGATGGCCAGGGTCGACGGCGGAGGCTGCACTGGGCTGGTGGTGGATGGAGCAGAATTGTCTTGCACTGCCATGGCAGGTGGTAGTAGACGACGACCCGAGTGGAGCTCCAGTGGTAACGTGCGAGAGGACTTGGGGATCGAGAAGCAC